GGTGAGACGTGTGGAGTGGTGAGTTGGTGAGGCGTGTGGAGTTGGTGAGGTGTGTGGAGTGGTGAGTTGGTGAGGCGTGTGGAGTTGGTGAGGTGTGTGGAGTGGTGAGTTGGTGAGGCGTGTGGAGTGGTGAGCTGGTGAGGCGTGTGGAGTGGTGAGTTGGTGAGGCGTGTTGAGTTGGTGAGGCGTGTGGAGTGGTGAGTTGGTGAGGCATGTGGAGTGGTGAGTTGGTGAGGCGTGTGGAGTGGTGAGTTGGTGAGTGGTGAGTTGGTGAGGCGTGTGGAGTTGGTGAGGTGTGTGGAGTGGTGAGTTGGTGAGGCGTGTGGAGTGGTGAGTTGGTGAGGCGTGTGGAGTGGTGAGTTGGTGAGGCGTGTGGAGTGGTGAGTTGGTGAGGCGTGTGGAGTGGTGAGCTGGTGAGGCGTGTGGAGTGGTGAGTTGGTGAGGCGTGTTGAGTTGGTGAGGCGTGTGGAGTGGTGAGTTGGTGAGGCGTGTGGAGTGGTGAGTTGGTGAGGCGTGTGGAGTTGGTGAGGTGTGTGGAGTGGTGAGTTGGTGAGGCGTGTGGAGTTGGTGAGGTGTGTGGAGTGGTGAGTTGGTGTGGCGTGTGGAGTGGTGAGCTGGTGAGGCGTGTGGAGTGGTGAGTTGGTGAGGCGTGTTGAGTTGGTGAGGCGTGTGGAGTGGTGAGTTGGTGAGGCGTGTGGAGTGGTGAGTTGGTGAGGTGTGTGGAGTGGTGAGTTGGTGAGTGGTGAGTTGGTGAGGCGTGTGGAGTGGTGTCTTAGGTGAGGCGTGTGGAGTGGTGAGTTGGTGAGGCGTGTGGAGTGGTGAGTTGGTGAGGCGTGTGGAGTGGTGAGTTGGTGAGGCGTGTGGAGTGGTGAGCTGGTGAGGCGTGTGGAGTGGTGAGTTGGTGAGGCGTGTTGAGTTGGTGAGGCGTGTGGTGTGGTGAGTTGGTGAGGCGTGTGGAGTGGTGAGTTGGTGAGGCGTGTGGAGTGGTGAGTTGGTGAGTGGTGAGTTGGTGAGGCGTGTGGAGTTGGTGAGGTGTGTGGAGTGGTGAGTTGGTGAGGCGTGTGGAGTGGTGAGTTGGTGAGGCGTGTGGAGTGGTGAGTTGGTGAGGCGTGTGGAGTGGTGAGTTGGTGAGGCGTGTGGAGTGGTGAGCTGGTGAGGCGTGTGGAGTGGTGAGTTGGTGAGGCGTGTTGAGTTGGTGAGGCGTGTGGAGTGGTGAGTTGGTGAGGCGTGTGGAGTGGTGAGTTGGTGAGGCGTGTGGAGTTGGTGAGGTGTGTGGAGTGGTGAGTTGGTGAGGCGTGTGGAGTTGGTGAGGTGTGTGGAGTGGTGAGTTGGTGAGGCGTGTGGAGTGGTGAGTTGGTGAGGCGTGTGGAGTGGTGAGTTGGTGAGTGGTGAGTTGGTGAGGCGTGTGGAGTGGTGAGTTGGTGAGGCGTGTGGAGTGGTGAGTTGGTGAGGCGTGTGGAGTGGTGAGTTGGTGAGTGGTGAGTTGGTGAGGCGTGTGGAGTGGTGAGTTGGTGAGGCGTGTGGAGTGGTGAGTTGGTGAGGCGTGTGGAGTGGTGAGTTGGTGAGGCGTGGTGAGTTGGGGAGTGGTGAGTTGGGGAGTGGTGAGTTTGGTGGAGGTGTGTGGAGTGGTGAGTTGTGGGAGGCGTGTGGAGTGGTGAGTTGGTGAGGTGTGTGGAGTGGTGAGTTGGTGAGGCGTGTGGAGTGGTGAGTTGGTGAGGTGTGTGGAGTGGTGAGTTGGGGGAGGTGTGTTGAGTGGTGAGTTGGTGAGGTGTGTGGAGTGGTGAGCTGGTGAGGTGTGTGGAGTGGTGATTTGGTGAGGCGTGTGGAGTGGTGTCTTAGGGGAGGAGTGGTGAGCTGGTGAGGCGTGAGTTGGTGAGGTGTGTGGAGTGGTGAGTTGGTGAGTGGTGAGTTGTGGGAGGTGTGTGGAGTGGTGAGTTGGGGAGTGGTGAGGTGGGTGGAGTGGTGAGTTGGTGAGGCGTGTGGAGTGGTGAGCTGGTGAGGTGGGTGGAGTGGTGAGCTGGTGAGGTGTGTGGAGTGGTGAGTTGGGGAGTGGTGAGTTTGGTGGAGGTGAGTGGAGTGGTGAGTTGGTGAGGAGTGTGGAGTGGTGAGCTGGTGAGGCGTGTGGTTGTCGCTGCAAGCCGAATTCTGTTCACACGCGCACACAAAATCTATCTCCGTTTACACCTGTGTAGACTGTTGGGGCAAGTGCTGTCAATGAGCACCTATTAACTAACGCCAGCATGGCACGTGTGAAGGCGGTGTTGCCAGTGTTGTGGTTCACCACTCGTATTTTCCAGAACGGCTGCATGTCCACGCTGTGCAGACAGAAGAACTTGGTTATTGAGCATCATCGAAAGCAGCCAGGGTCAGGATGACCTTTGGGGTAATTCCCTTGGGATTAACAAGGGGGGGGAGATGGACCAGAGTTCAAAAGACCGGTATCTGCCAATCACAGAGGGATCTTCTGGAGAATGTTCTGGAAGGTGTCGCGAGGGGGAGGGGGCAGCGGGGGGGGGGCATTATGATGAAGACAGACGAGTGAGTTGGTGAGGCGTGACTTTACCGAAAGAACCCCACAGAGTATGGGTTCCTGCAGTCAGCGAAAGCTTCGAGTCAAAGAATGGTTCCAGTTCGCCCGCGAGAAATGTCCAAGATGATGGGTCGGCCACTTCTGTTGAACGGCTATCATTTGTGGTGGCCCCCTTTAGTGGGGGCTTTGCCTGATGGGATGGGGATGGTTTAATAGCTGTCAAACCATACGGTTTTAGCCGTAATTCTTGCACAAGGAAACTGAGTTTTCAGGTCCATAGGGCCTACATGCCGTTTCAATCGGGCAAACAAAATGTGTTGTCTCTGTGTTTATGTTTCTCACTTGTGATGGGAGTTTATCGGATTTATAAGGGGCACGGGGGTGACCAATGAGGGCTGAATTGGTCTGTAATAAGGTAGGGCACTGCTAATGGGTTGACAGGTCTGTAGTGGTGAGTGTACTAGTGGTGAGTGTAGTGCTGGTGAGTGTACTAGTGGTGAGTGTAGTGCTGGTGAGTGTAGTGCTGGTGAGTGTACTAGTGGTGAGTTTACTAGTGGTGAGTGTACTAGTGGCGAGTGTAGTGCTGGTGAGTGTACTAGTGGTAAGTGTACTAGTGGTGAGTGTACTAGTGGTGAGTGTAGTGCTGGTGAGTGTACTAGTGGTAAGTGTTCTAGTGGTGAGTGTACTAGTGGTGAGTGTAGTGCTTGTGAGTGTACTAGTGGTGAGTGTACTAGTGGTGAGTGTACTAGTAGTGAGTGTAGTGCTGCTAAGTGTACTAGTGGTGAGTGTACTAGTGGTGAGTGTAGTGCTGGTGAGTGTACTAGTGGTGAGTGTACTAGTAGTGAGTGTAGTGATGAGTGGTGAGTGTACTAGTGGTGAGTGTACTAGTAGTGAGTGTACTAGTGGTGAGTGTACTAGTGGTGAGTGTAGTGCTGGTGAGTGTACTAGTGGTGAGTGTAGTGCTTGTGAGTGTACTAGCGGTGAGTGTACTAGTGGTGAGTGTAGTGCTTGTGAGTGTACTAGCGGTGAGTGTGCTAGTGGTGAGTGTACTAGTGGTGAGTGTAGTGCTTGTGAGTGTACTAGCGGTGAGTGTACTAGTGGTGAGTGTACTAGTGGTGAGTGTACTAGTGGTGAGTGTAGTGCTGGTGAGTGTACTAGTGGTGAGTGTACTAGTGGTGAGTGTAGTGCTGGTGAGTGTACTAGTGGTGAGTGTAGTGCTGGTGAGTGTACTAGTGATGAGTGTACTAGTGGTGAGTGTACTAGTAGTGAGTGTACTAGTGATGAGTGTACTAGTGGTGAGTGTACTAGTAGTGAGTGTAGTGATGAGTGGTGAGTGTACTAGTGGTGAGTGTACTAGTAGTGAGTGTACTAGTGGTGAGTGTACTAGTGGTGAGTGTAGTGCTGGTGAGTGTACTAGTGGTGAGTGTAGTGCTTGTGAGTGTACTAGCGGTGAGTGTACTAGTGGTGAGTGTAGTGCTTGTGAGTGTACTAGCGGTGAGTGTACTAGTGGTGAGTGTACTAGTGGTGAGTGTAGTGCTTGTGAGTGTACTAGTGGTGAGTGTACTAGTGGTGAGTGTCTATTTGTTTGTGATGGGACTTTGTAGGATGAACGTTGAGATTTATAAGGGGTACGGGGTGACCAACAAGATTTGAATTGGTCTGTAACAAGGTATGGCACTTGTAAAGGGTTCACAGTTTTGTGGTTTAGTTGGTGTATGTGTCTGGGTCATTTGATGACCTTATTGTATTTTGCACTGCTGTTTGTTGTTTGTAACGTTCTTACCGATGAGCTATAAAGCTCTTGTGAAAACAAGAGCTTTATAGCTCATCGGATTTCTCCTCCAGTTATAAATAAGTATTCAGATTAAATATTGGTATGAAAAAAAACATTCGGATAAATATTTATATAAATGATCATTCCGATAAATATTTATATGTATAAACAACCATTTCAATTTATGTAAATAATCCTTCAGATAAATATTTATATAAAAAAACCAGATGCTTATTTATATAAATATTTCCTGTTTATGCGCGTACGCATTCAATAAATATTTATATAAATATCCAGACAAATACTTATTTACATTTTATATTCGTATAAATATTTATTAATATTGGGATAAAATTTGATACATTTTTAATTTTGACTTCAAACTTTGGTGACTGCCGGAATTCATATTCTGTGGTTCTTTCCGTAAAGTCACGTAGATAGAAAAAAAATTATAACAAAAATAAAGTAATGGAAAATATCACGACGTTTCGACCGCGTGTGTTGCGATCGAAACGTCGTGATACATTTAACAACTTTATTTTCATCATCATTCTTTCTATCTACGTGACTTTACCGAAAGAACCACGGCATATTTTACCAATTTAATTTCGATTTCAATCCGGAGGGAAAAAATCCCTCTAACCTGACATGGAGCGCCGGGACGCGAAGTTAACGCCTCCCCCCCCCACCCCCGAGTGCGCATGCGCGGCACCGTGAGTCAGGAGTCTCCGCTTGGCACCCGCCAGAGGCCTCCTCCTCACCACCTCCTCCTCACCCTCACCACCTCCTCCTCACCCTCCTCTATCGTCACCTCATCGTCGCCACCCGCACGGCCCTCGCCATGCTCATCACGCTCAAGACGCTGCAGCAGCAGACATTCAGAGTGGACGTCGACCCCGATGAGACGGTGAGGCCTGCGAGCAAGTTTCACACTCACCACCACCACCACGTGACACGCTCACCACCACGTGACACACTCACCACCACCAGGTTACACACTCACCACTCACCAGGTTACACACTCACCACCACCAGGTTACACACTCACCACCATGTGACACACTCACCACCACCAGGTTACACACTCACCACCATGTGACACACTCACCACCACCAGGTTACACACTCACCACCACGTGACACACTCACCACCACCACCACGTGACACACTCACCACCACCAGGTTACACACTCACCACCACCAGGTTACACACCACCACGTGACGCACTCACCACCACCAGGTTACACACTCACCACCACCAGGTTACACACTCACCACCACCAGGTTACACACTCACCACTCACCAGGTTACACACTCACCACCACGTGACACACTCACCACCACGTGACACACTCACCACCACCACGTCACACTCACCACCACCACGTTACACACTCACCATGACCACGTTACACACTCACCACCACAAGGTTCCACACCACGTTGCACACCACCACCACGTGACACACTCACCACCACCACGTGACACTCACCACCACTACGTGACACACCACCACCAGGTTACACACTCACCACCAGGTTACACACTCACCACCACCAGGTTACACACCACGTTACACACCACGTTACACACTCACCACGTTACACACTCACCACGTGACACACTCACCACCACGTTACACACTCACCACGTGACACCACGTTACACACTGACCACCACGTTACACACTCACCACGTGACACACTCACCATGTTACACACTCACCACGTTACACACTCACCACCACGTTACACACTGACCACGTTACACACTCACCACGTTACACACCCACCACCAGGTTACACACTCACCACGTGACACACTCACCACGTTACACACTCACCACGTTACACACCCACCACCAGGTTACACACTCACCACCACCAGGTTACACACTCACCATTGGAAACCTCATTTGCCAGTAACAAAATATGATAATTGTTTTTTTACCCTTTTATCTGGCAATAAAACTGACACCTTTTTTACAGTAACAAATTTATCATATTTTGTTACTGGCAAATGAGGTTTCCAATGGTGTAAATGCTTAACCCCGAGCTCTCATACTCTGATGGTGCATTGTCTTTGAGTTGTGCGCCTTTTGGCGTCTTCTGGTCCAACACCATGTGAGACGAGGCTCTAAAGAAAGCTGTCTCGGGTGTGGACCAATCAATTTCAAGGACAGTGCCACATACATTATCAGAGTTGTTGTTGTTTTGTTGTTTGCGTTCCGACCGCAGGTATTGTGGTCAATGTAAACATGACTCCTTGTTAAAAAGGTCTCAGTTTTGTTGCCAGATTAAAGGGTAAAAAAACAATTATCAGGTTACACACTCACCACCACCAGGTTACACACTCACCACGTTACACACTCACCACCACCACGTTACACACTCACCACCACCACGTTACACACTCACCACCACCAGGTTACACACTCACCACGTTACACACTCACCACCACCAAGTTACACACTCACCACCACCAGGTTACACACTCACCACCCCGTTACACACTCACCACCACGTTACACACTCACCACCACGTTACACACTCACCACTACGTTACACACTCACCACCACGTTACACACTCACCACCACCACGTTACACACTCACCACCACGTTTCACACTCACCACGTTACACACTCACCACCACGTTATACACTCACCACGTTACACACCACCACCAGGTTACACACTCACCACCACCACGTTACACACCACCACCACGTGACACACTCACGACCACGTTACACACTCACCACCACGTTACACACTCACCACCACGTTACACACCACCACGTGAATCACCACCACGTTACACACTCACCACGTTACACACCACCACCACGTTACACACTCACCACCACGTTACACACTCACCACCACCACGTTACACACTCACCACCACCACGTTACACACTCACCACCACCACGTTACACACTCACCACCACGTTACACACTCACCACCACGTTACACACTCACCACCCCGTTACACACCACCAGGTTACACACTCACCACGTTACACACCACCATCAGGTTACACACCACCATCAGGTTACACACTCACCACCACCAGGTTACACACTCACCACCACCAGGTTACACACTCACCACGTTACACACTCACCACCACCACGTTACACACTCACCACGTGACACACCACGTTACACACCACCACGTTACACACTCACCACCAGGTTACACACTCACCACCACCAGGTTACACACTCACCACCACCGCGTGACACACCACCACGTTACACACTCACCACCACGTGACACACCGCCACCACGTTACACACTCATCATCACCACGTTACACACTCACCACCACCACGTGATACACTCTCCACCACCACGTTACACACCACCACCACGTTACACACTCGCCACCACCAGGTTACACACCACCACCACGTTACACACTCACCACCACCAGGTTACACACTCACCACCAATCATCAACCACCACTCACCAACAACTCGCTAGACTCACCACTACTCACCACCACTCACCAATCATGAACCACCACTCACCAACCACTCGCTAGACTCACCACTCTACACTCACCACCACTCACCAACTACTCGCTAGACTCACCACTACTCACCACCACTCACCAATCATGAACCACCACTCACCAACCACTCGCTAGACTCACCACTCTACACTCACCACCACTCACCAACCACTCGCTAATCTCACCACCACTCACCACCACTCACCAATCATCAACCACCACTCACCAACAACTCGCTAGACTCACCACTACTCACCACCACTCACCAATCATGAACCACCACTCACCAACCACTCGCTAGACTCACCACTCTACACTCACCACACACTCACCACACACTCACCACTACTCACCACGCACTCACCACGCACTCACCACACACCTACCACACACTCACCACACACCACACACTCACCACACACTCACCACACACACACATACACTCACCACACACTCACCACACACTCACCACGCACTCACCACACACTCACCACACACCACACACTCACCATACACTCACCATACACTCACCACACACTCACCACACACACACTCACCACACACTCACCACACACTCACCATACACTCACCACACACTCACCACGCACTCACCACGCACTCACCACACACTCACCACACACCACACACTCACCATACACTCACCATACACTCACCATACACTCACCACACACACACACTCACCACACACTCACCACACACTCACCACACACTTACCACTCACCACACACTCACCACACACTCACCACACACACACCACACACTCACCACACACTCACCACACACTCACCACACACTCACTGATGCTGGTGCACAAACATCGTAAGGGCGCCGTGGTGGCTATGAGATGTTAACTACCTCGCCTGGTCTACAGGAGGTCGTGGGTTCCATCCCCTACCCTGACAATGCCTGCTGCTGTATGAGTCAGGGTCTCTCATCATCATCACGGTGGCTATGAGATGTTAACTACCTCGCCTGTTCTACAGGAGGTCGTGGGTTCCATCCCCATCCTGACAATGCCTGCTGCTGTATGAGTCAGGGTCTCTCATCATCCTCATCACGGTGGCTATGAGATGTTAACTACCTCGCTTGGTCTACAGGAGGTCGTGGGTTCCATCCCCATCCTGACGATTACTGCTGCTTTATAGGAGTCAGGGTCTCTCATCATCATCACGGTGGCTATGAGATGTTAACTACCTCGCCAGGTCTACAGGAGGTCGTGGGTTCCATCCCCTACCCTGACAATGCCTGCTGCTGTATGAGTCAGGGTCTCTCATCATCATCACGGTGGCTATGAGATGTTAACTACCTCGCCTGGTATACAGGAGGTCGTGGGTTCCATCCCCACCCTGACGATTACTGCTGTTGTATAGGAGTCAGGGTCTCTCATCATCACGGTGGCTAGGAGATGTTAACTACCTCGCCTGGTATACAGGAGGTCGTGGGTTCCATCCCCACCCTGACGATTACTGCTGCTGCTGTATAGGAGTCAGGGTCTCTCATCATCATCACAGTGGCTATGAGATGTTAACTACCTCGCCTGGTATACAGGAGGTCGTGGGTTCCATCCCCACCCTGACGATTACTGCTGCTGTATAGGAGTCAGGGTATCATCATCACGGTGGCTATGAGATGTTAACTACCTCGTCTGGTCTACAAGAGGTCGTGGGTTCCATCCCCAACCCTGACAATGCCTGCTGCTGTATGAGTCAGGGTCTCTCATCATCATCACGGTGGCTAGGAGATGTTAACTACCTCGCCTGGTCTACAGGAGGTCGTGGGTTCCATCCCCTACCCTGACAATGCCTGCTGCTGTATGAGTCAGGGTCTCTCATCATCATCACGGTGGCTATGAGATGTTAACTACCTCGCCTGTTCTACAGGAGGTCGTGGGTTCCATCCCCATCCTGACAATGCCTGCTGCTGTATGAGTCAGGGTCTCTCATCATCCTCATCACGGTGGCTATGAGATGTTAACTACCTCGCTTGGTCTACAGGAGGTCGTGGGTTCCATCCCCATCCTGACGATTACTGCTGCTTTATAGGAGTCAGGGTCTCTCATCATCATCACGGTGGCTAGATGTTAACTACCTCGCCTGGTCTACAGGAGGTCGTGGGTTCTATCCCCAACCCTGACGATGCCTGCTGCTGCTGTATATATTTTGGAGTCTGCTTCTCATCTCCCCACATTGAGAATCAACATCAACCAGGCGTTTGCGAGAATTTGTCCGATGTAAATGTCCACGTGATGAGCCCACTTGGTTGGAGCTATCGCTCGTGATGGCCAGCATCGCTTCTGCAAAAAAAAGAGACGCCGTAGCTCAGTGGCACTTACCTGGTAAAATATAAAGTTCAG